AAAGCTACAGAGAAACCCCATCTCGAAAAAAAAAAAAAAAAAACACAAAAGAAAGATGAGGCTAATGGATAAACAGTTGAAATGCATTCTGCCAATATCTTACTAAAACTCATTTAAGTAATTATGTAAAACATTCTATAATGAAATGCAATTTGTTAAAATGGACATATGACTCTGTAATAAATGTAAGATAACATGACTAGAAACGGTTTTCTGCTCGTAAAAATCTCCATAGTATTTTGAGATCTATTACTTCGGTGACAATTTTCAGCCTGGATTTTCAGTCAATAATAGAACCTATGAAGCTACTGTAACACAAGACAACAAAACAGGTAGACGCACTGATCACTGACAACTGCCAGCCAGTACCCATATATAAAAACAGCTGGGAATAGTGATATACATTTATAGGAGGATGAGACAGGAGGATTACTTGAGTCCTGGGTTTTGAAGTTATTATGAACAATATGGTAAGATCTAGTTATTTGTAGTTTATGCTATTGTGTAGAGAGCATACTGATTGACCTGATGTGTGCCAATCTGAGTCCTGCTCCAATAGGAACTCATTCTAGTGAATATGAAATAGTTATAAAGTTACCCTGGGCATTGGGAAGCAAAAATATTGCTGAAGGACAGACACTGGAACTAAGAGGATTACAGTATTTCTAACCCACATGTAATCTGCTGCAAACTCTTCTCAAGATAACAGATTGGAGGGCTCTCTGTCTCTTCCATGTGAAAGTCCCTTTAAAACTGTCTTAGAGTTAATGAGACAAGAAAGGAATGCTCACTTGTGGATGTTTAGAACATCGAAGCATAATCAATGACTAAACTTTGCCTCCACAATAAGAGAAAATATTTGAACCAAGAGTAAATAGTGTTTTGTTTTAATGATAGTGCTTAGAGGATGAGAGATCAGTGGGCCGAGGGAGGCACTGTGTGGTGAGGAAATGTACCCTCACTTTATGTCTGTATGCTGTACTTGTCTAAAATCGAGCACTACACACAGTGGCACAGCCAGCTGTCAGCAAAGATGACGATTTCTGCTTCTCATCACCTAGACACCCAAGAACATGCCTCATTCAGATCATGCCATCTTATTCCCAGCTTGCCTGACGTCAGTCAGTCTGGCTTTCCATTCTATTTGGTCTTTAGACAGGCTTAAATATAACCTTGGCTTCCTGATCCTATTGACTTTATCTCCCAAGTGCCAGGAATACAGGAATGTGCCACTGGTGCTCATTTCATGCTGTTAGGAATGGACCCAAGGCTTTCTGTAGACTTGGTGAGCACTCTATAAACTAAGCCACACTGCTATGACCAATTATCTCTTTTCTGCTGATGTTCATCTCATTCTGGAAGTACCGGTTTTCCACAGGCTTCAAGCATATTGAATAATCATCAATAGAAGCAATTAGAAGTTAAGGTAAATAAACAAGTACATAAAAAACTAAGTCACCCTGTCTGTTTTAAGGCTTGTATTCAAATATTACTTTCTCAATGAAATCATTAAATGTCCTACCAAAATGCAACTCACCTTCACTTCCCTTTCCGTCTTCTGTCTTAATCACTCCCATACTGTTTTCTCCACAGCAGCTTCAAAACCTATTATAAACTACATATTCATCTGTATTTTCAATCTTCCTCCCTTAGAATTTCCAAAGTTCACAATTTACTTCCTTGTTCATTGCACCTAAGGTATTTAAATAGGTCCTATATAATGTACATATATAATCAATTATATAATGTACCAAGAGTGTTGAGAGGAGGGGGACCCTTTGTTCCCTCCTGTCCAGCTAGTTTACACCCGAAATAATCACACAGAAACTGTATTCATTTAAACACTG